CTCCGCGAGCGCCCCGGGCGGGGCTTATGAGGCGGCGCGCCAGCTCCGCCCCGGCCGCCATTGGCCCTCGAGCCCACGCCCGCACGCCCATTGGCTGCCGCTGACAGCTCCGCCCCTCCCATCCGCCGGGCCCATCAACTCCGCACGACCTACCTCCTGCGCTCCCCGATTGGGTAGGGACCGACGCCGGCCTCGCCTCTCTATTGGCCAGCTGGTCCGGACACGCCGGTGCCCACCCACGTGCCCGCTGACCGGCTCCATTCTCATTGGAGGTGGCGCACGCCAGCCAAGGGGGCCGCGACCAACCGGGCGGCGGCTGGGGCTCGGATTGACAAGGACGCCTCGGGGCCCACCCAACGATCGCACGGGAACAAGCGGGTATTGGCTTGTGGGGTCAGCCCGAGGCGCGGACTGGCTGGGGCGGATGCCAATCACGGCCCAGGCCCCGCCCCGGTTATCAGGCGGCAGCTGAGTACGTGAGACCCTGCACAACATCAGCACCCGGCCCAGGCGTCACCGTGAACGGGTTCGAGACCCGTAGCCGAAATTTGGGTACAGAGTGCCCAATTCGGAGTTCCAGGTTAGAAAGCGTAACTCCAACAGACACCCATTCTGGAAAGAACTTGGAAATTGAGAAACAAAAAATCTAGCAGCAAGTGCCCTCCCCACCCCCAACAAAATTAACCAAGTTCGTATCCATCATGATCAACAAAACTTTGTAAAGGGGCATAGCCTTCCGCATAAAGTTGGATGCCCTGCCCCCAGTTCTCTAAAACGGTAAGGGAGGCGAGTTTGATGTTACCTGACCTAGGTGCAAAGCTCAGCTGCTTCCCACGCCTCACTGCGAAGTAACCACGCTGGGCCTCAGTTTCCCCTGTGAAATGGATACGATGGCAAACACACACACACCACTGTCTGCCCCTCTCCTGGGAATGTTGCCAGAGGAGAAAGAGAGGAGGCACGTAAAGGGTTTGGCCGTGTAGCCTCTCGTGAGCATTTAATTAAGGTTTGCTATATTATCATCACCAACCGCGTATCAGAAAGGAGTGTGGGCATGTCCCCACTTCACATGCGGTATAAACGGCCAAGCGGATGTTTTCTAGTAACCTTTTCAGTGCATTGCATTCCTGGAGGTCATATACCCCGAGAAAGGCGCCAGAGCTTGCACCATTCGAGGATGTTTGCTGCAGCGCTGTCCACAATTGTTTTTCATGTTTTGTCCTAAATATCCACCTTTATGGAATGAGGAACACAGGGTACTCTGGAATACTATGTAGCAATGAAAAAGAGGTAGATCAACATGTAAGCTAGACACACATTTAGAGTGCTTCACGTTTATAAGCACAGACAAAAATATGCATACACTAGACCACGGTTCACATCTGTTTGTTTACTAAGGTGCTAAACAAAGTGCCTACTTGATAAATGGCCTGAATTCAATAGAAAACCAGGCACGAGGCAAATGTGCAGCACTGTTCCAACTTTGTTCTTTAAATTTACATATAAAATATACAATGCATATGTGTATTTGTGTGTATATGTGTACACACACACACACACACACAAACATGCATGCCGTGGCTTTGCCATATCTTTAGGTAAGCCACTTAACCTCTCTACCTCACCTGCAAAATGGTTGAGTCAAAACTGTGACATGTTGTCCTGAGGTTGACTATCACAACACCCGACACGTAGACCTGTACAAGTAAAGCCTGAAAATGGCAACCCTCCGAATGGCAGGATTGTATATTTTGACTTTCTTCACGTAGTCAGTTTCCAAATGTCCTAAAGGAATTGTGTACCTTGTATAACCTGAGATGGAGGGAGAAAAGGAAGTTTTCCATTAAAAAAATCGACCAGGTGAATTAATTTTTTAAATGTGGTCCACCCACAGACTGGAGTGAAGCAGACACACACTACAATGTGGGCGAACCTTGAAAACAAGCCCACGAAGGACCAAATAGTGCATGACTCCATTCATATGAAATGTCTAGAACAGGCAGATCCAGAGACAGACAGTGGGTATGCGGTTGTCAAGCTGGGGGAGGGGGATGGGGAGTGACTGCTAATGACTGGATTTTCCTTTTGGGGTGATAATCTTCTGGAACTAGATAGTGATGATAGTTGCACAATTCTGTAGATATGCTAAAAACCACTACTGTAGACTTTAACCCATTCCCCGCTTAGAAAAAAGTGAGGCTGAAGCAAATCTGGTTTTCGATGTGAAAATAAAAAATAAAAACTGTTCTTGGAGTTATTTCTGAACAGAACTTGTTTCTAATCCTAATGTCACAGAAATGTGTCCATGCATCAGATTCAGGAAATCTTTGGCTGACTGAGAACGATGTTAATATCACGCGTCGGAATGCTACGTTTTCTAGAACTCGATGTTTTCGGCGATCGAGAATGACTATGTTTTGTAAATGGAAATACTACTACTAAAAACAATGCTATAAAGAGAATAACATCATTTGTTTCCAAAGACTATTGATACGCTAGAGCAATGAGAAAATAATAATAAAAAGCGAGAGAAAACAATAAAAGTGAGGCATGCCGTGCAAACTTTGGGGGTAAGGTTAGGTAGGACCACAGTCCATGAGTCATCTTGGGGTAAACGCTGTAGCTCCAAGTGCCATCGGCGAGTATTGTCCAGGAAAATGGGAAATGGGTTAAATGGGCGAAGTGCATGGCAACATGAAATATCTCAATAAAGCTATTAAGAGATTTTTTTTTTTGATCGACCAGGAAGGAAAGATGCTTAATATCGTGATTATTTTTACATGGTGGGTGCACATACACTCTTCTGGGTTTTGCCAATTTTTAATGGTATTTTCCTTAATTTTTAAAATGAGAAACATCCAAAACTACAATCTTGACAATGAACCCACCCCGGAGTCTTCTGTCTCTGTGTAGAGCTCACCTGGGGACATACAGTGGACATCCCTCAGAGCTGAGTATCTTTCCTATTTTCATTCCATGTCCACGTTTGACATACTTTTGATATAATTTGTAAACCATTCAATTTGCCCACACGAAGTGTACAATAGTATATCCACCGACGTGTGCCACCATGATGATTTAGAATGTTTTCGTCACCCCAGAAGCCCTGTACCATTCAGCTAACATTCCCTCCAACCCACTTCCCCTGCCCCAGCCCCAGCATCCCTAATCTGTCTCCATGGATCCCTGTGTTGGAGACTTCATGAGATCATGTAACATATGACCATTTGTGATTGCCTTCTTACACTTAGCATAATGTTTTCAAGGGCACTCTTGGTACATTTTAAGGACAAAATAGCAGAACTTTTTGTTTATTAAATCAGATCTGCCCATGCCATGACCTGACCGTGAATAAAAGTCACCAGTAATAGGTTCACATGAATAAATGGCCTCTGCAGAATTCAGCCCTGTCACCTTCCCCGGAGCTGATTTTTAAACCTGCCTCACCTTCAGCCTGACTTCTGCTAGAAACAGTATTTCAGGGAGTCAGTCCCTACACCCAAGGTGTCCGAATTTCCCCAGGCCCAGACACCCCTTCTAAGGTCGTGGACTTCTTGATTGATGATTAGGGCTGGTCTCATGGGGGACCACTGCAGCCTCGGTTTGCTCGAGGGTAAGTGACCCCCCGCTCCAAGCTAGAAGGCCGGATTTGACTTTCCATGGCTGTCGTTTGTGGACCACACTAAGGCTAAAGACAATGTCCCCCCACTGCCTGTCACTCTTGACTTCTGGGTGCCGTGTCCCCCTCTGCGAAGTGGGGCTCTCTGGTCTGTCCTGTAGGGTTTTATGAAGAGAATATGAATTAAGAACAGTGCTCGGTGGGCTGCAAAGCAATTTACAAATGGGAGACACAACCAAAGGCATCTGTAAAAGACATTTATTCTGACAATCTAAAATCTGGACAAAGAGTGAATTTTTAGAAAACGCCTACACAGAATTTTGTCATTTCTTCCTAATACGTTAACAACCTAATAATGGGGGGATGGGGGACTTTTCAAACAATATTGCTCCAGTTTGTCTGCAGTTATGTGATTTAAAATATCCCTGTTCTATTGAGGTATAAGCTGCAAACTTTGGTAAAGTTAGAAAAATTAACAAATCATTCCAAAAAAATACAAAACCAAAAAAAAACCAAAAAACAAAAAAAACAAAAACCAAACCCTAAGTTATAGATTTCTTGGTACATATACAGTAACTACAAAAAAAAATTTCATTTATAAAAAGTGTTTACTTTAAAAAAAAAAAAAATTCCCTCTTGTAATTCTCAGTTGGTGAGTTGAAAATCCAATTGAAAGGAACGACAGAACTCAACTCATCCCCAAACACTCACCCGGTCTCGGGAAAAACTGGTTGGCCGGTCTGAGAATCTGGTCGGCATTTTCAGTAATTCAGTGCTAAAAGACAGCCCTGTGTTTAGAAAGAAAGAACCAAAGGCACTTGAACATGGCTTCGTGCGTCGGCTCCCGCGGCCTTCCAGCTCAGAGGGCACGTGGCTGCACGTCCGGCCTTTCCACGGAGCAGAGTCCCACGGAGGTGGCCTGTGTGTGGCCTTCGCTCTCTGCTCACGGGGCGGCGGCCTCTGCCTGCGGGTCTTAAACACAGAAGCCGTCTGGTGGCGGGGGCTTTGCGGCCAGAGTTTAAACTGGGCTGAACGGGATTTTTCCTCTTTTCGGCAACATCTTGATGGATGGCAGTGGGGCCACAGCACACCCGGGGCCACCACCAGGCACAGTCCGGCTGGGTTTTGGGCGGGGAAATGCTGTCAGGAAGGCTGCTCGTGTTCAGCTCGGGGGCCGGGCCCACACGCATGGAAGACCTGGAAGACCGTAGCAGGCAGCCAGCGCCAGCTCGGAGCCACCGAGACCCGGGTGCTGGGAACATAAGTGGCCTTCGGGCCAGGTCGCTTCTAATTCCATCTTCAGAAAAAAAAAAATTTTGTTTTTTTGCTGACACGTTGCAGGCTTTGTATTTTTTTTAAAAAACCAAGATAAAACACTGAGAAGTCCAACTTTCTTTCTTTCTTTGAGCCTCAATACAAATTCTTGCAAATTTATAGATTAAAATAAACGAAGCCAGGAAGACGAGGCTTTTTTGGGAGGGGAGAGTAAACTACCTGTTTAAGTTAAGCCCACTAAAAAACAAGGGGGGGGGGGCCAGAGACCCCTCGGATGCGTTTTTAAAAACGCCGATGAGAAGTGCTGAGGATCACCGTCCACTGCCGTAGCCGGGGAAGAGCTGGCTGAGGACCGCCTGAAGCGGCTGGTTCACCTGCATGGCGTAGTTCCGGCCCAGGTCGTAGCGGCAGGCCGGACAGCTGAACACCTGGGCCCGGAAGGATCTGTCCAGGCAATCCTACGAGGGAAAGGGGGCAGGTGAGACGTGCCGTCCTCGTCAGTGGGGCCACTCCTGGCCGCCCACTGTCCCCCGCGATGGAGTCAGGAGCAAATACCGACTTCTCGCGAGGTCCAGAGGCCCCTCCCGACCCTCCGTCTCACTTCCTACCACTCGCCACCCATCACCAGCCCGGCCTCCCCAGGGCCCCTTAGAGACGCCTTGCTCATCCTGGCCCCAAGGCCTCGGCACGTGCAGGCCACACCACCCGACAGGTCTGTCCTCTGGCTCTCTCCCATCACTCATGCCTTGGCTCAAGTCACCTGCTCGGAGAACCCATCCCTGACTCCTGGAACACTGGAGCGGCCCCGCCGCAGCCAGTCCTCACCCGGTGTGCCTCAGAACAGCACCTCCGCTCTGGAGCCGGCTCGTTTACTAACGTGTTTATCTCTGAAGGCCAGACACTGCCTGCAATCGAGGCTGTGTCTTACTGACCCTCCCGGCACCGAGCACAGGACCCGACACGCAGCAGATGCTCGATAAATGTACATCAATGAGACTAACGGGGGCGAAGGAAGGATTTCCAGCGCCGGGCACACTCCCAGTTCGCACTCAGTTCTCACAGGTGATGCCGGGGAAGAATGCCAGGCAGAGGCAGAGCCACGACGCGGACGGGCCCTGGAGTCAGCGTCCCGGTCAAAGAAACAGGGAAGAACCCACCCACCTGGGCGGCGGTAATGCACATGGGGACACGGGCCCGCACAGGTGTGCCCACCTGAAGGATGACATTGGGCAGCGGGGTAAAGAGGCGAATGTCAACACAGCAGGAAGCCTGTGACGCCACGGCACCTTTGACCACAGACATATGCCGAGGCTTGTTTCCTATTTTTAAAACTCCTGAGTTCCTTTTTCAATATAAAGTTTATAGACTCGATTCCAGAGACAAAAGGTAGCTCTTTGTGCTCAACAAAACTAAGATTCGGGTCCACATTCAAGAACCAGGTTCTGATCGTGCATGAGTCACAGCAGCCAAAGGTCCATTAGCAAAGAATGATACACACACGTGGTCCACCCAAGCCACGAAATATCATTCGGCCTCAAAAAATAAATTCCGACACAGGCCACAACGTCCATGAACTCTGAGGATGTTATGCTCAGTGCAATATGCCAGTCACAAAGGGACAAACACTGTGTGATCCCACTCACAGGAGGTCCCCAGAGAAGTCAGATCCATAGAGACAGGAAGTAGACGGTGGAGCCAGGGGCCGGGGGAGGGGAGGGGAGTGAGTGTTTCATGGGAACAGAGTGTCAGTTTGGGACGATGAGAAAGTTCTGGAGATGGACGGTGAAGATAGTTGCACATTTAAACATACTTAACGCCACTGGACTGTACACTTACAAACGGTTAGGGCTGTAAATTTTGCATTGTGTGTACTTTACTACGATAAAATAGTTTTAGAGTAAGGAGAACACCAAGTGCTGGGACACCAGGGTAGAGGGTCAGAGCCAGTGTCCCATAATCCCTCAGATGCTGAGCGAGTTTCTGGGAGACGTAACCAGTCACACGGGCAGACGCATAAAGGCCAGTACCCTCTTCCCGCACAGCGGTGGCACTTTGAGACGGGTGACTGACCCGAGACGCTTGGTCCCCGGAACCCCAGCGACTGGTCCACTTGTGCCGTACTACCCAGCCCGACCTGCTGCAAACCTCCCGCCATTCTCATGCCTCCGCTGTGTGCTGGCCTAAAGCACTGTAGCACAGGTCACCTAGAGCCAGGAAGCTGCTGCTGTGCCCTTTGTCAGGGGCTGGGAGGGTGAGGGGGCTTTCCCAGACTGAGACGGGCAGGGCTGGGGGGTGGGCCAACCCCGGCAGCTGACTCCGAAGGTCCTCACCCTCCTCTGCCACGCCTCCAGGTCCCACACCGAAGAACCCATCAGGCCACAGGACGGGGCGCGGGGCCCGAGGCGGGCAAGTGAAGGACTGACCCTGAAGCCAAACCACTTAGGCTGAGTCTCTCCCATGTGACAGCCAGCACTGGACGGCCCGACGGCCCCGAGGTGAGGACAGGGGCCGGGGAACAAAATCACCAGCAGCTCAGAGACCAAGGGTGACCAGGAGGCAGCGACGGTTCCTTCTCACCTGCTGCCTGCACTGCCCAGAGGTTCCCACTGACGGACCGGCCAGAGAAACTACAGAGAAACCACTCAGACCAGCACCTCCTGCCGGGCGATCCTGCCCCCAGGGGACCCTCGGCCATCCAGGGACACCTGTGTTGTCAGGACTGAGGGTGCTCCTGGCATCGTGTGCTTGGGGGGCCAGGGATGCTGCTCGTCCCCGACCCCAGTACCCAGGACGCCCCCGCCAGAGAATGATACAGCCCAATGCACAATGCCGAAAGAGAGACCTTGATCTAGTCTAATCTCGGCCCCCATCTGTCTATCACGTCCTTTTCCTCCTGAGACTGACCACCAGGCAGAGCCTGGAGCCTGCCTGCCCATCCCACACCCCGGATCTGCAGGCCCTAACTGTACAGACGTGCCTGCCTGTCCAGACCTCCGCACGAGCCCTTCTGCCTGCCTGCAGTGCTGCCCAAGGCCCCTGCAGGTGGCGGGCTAAGGCCCCTCCTCCAGGAAGCCTTCCCCCTGCTCCTCTAGGGCAGTGGTCTCAGCCTTTCTGGCACCAGGGACCAGTGCTCCTAAGCATCTAACGTCTCATGCTCTGAGGCGAAGCTGAGGCGGTGACGCTAGCGCTGGGGAGCGGCTGCGAATGCAGATGAAGCTTCAATCACTCGTCCACGAGTGCTGCTCAGTTCCTAACAGGCCACAGACCGGTACCATTCTGCAGCCCGGGGGTTGGGGACCCCTGCTCTAAGATACAAGAACCTCACGCTTCTACACCTCAACCCGCCACCTGTTTGAGTCATTTATCATAACCAGACCTCAGGCCAGTGCTCTCCCACCCTGATGCTGGACCCCCAGGTACATGGGAGGCTGGGGAGAGTGTTCCAGAGAGAACAAGCCAACACGCAGCACAGGGCCGCTGTGCCTGGAGGTCACGGGGCGAGGTGACGCGGAGTGCGGGGCGGCCCGGGTGAGCTGGGCGGCTGGGGCGAGGAGTTGGTGTTTGATTCGGGAGCACAGGGGAGGCCCCGGGGGGCGGGGAGCAAGGAAGTGGGGCGATGGGAGCCCATGATGAAGGCAGAGGGGCTACTATAATCAATGTTACCAGGGAAACGGATGCCGAGGCCCGACGGAAGGCTGGGAGCCGGGAGTGTGCGGGAGCCAGGCCGACGCGCCCACACGGCGCGCTGGGCGCCCGCCGCCCTCACCTTGCACACGTTGTGCTGGCACACGGTCGTGACGGGGCGGAACACCAGCTCCTGGCAGCAGATGCACTGGAACGTCTCCTCCACCTTACTCAGGAACTTCTGAAACGGGAACAGATGGTGCGTGAGGCCAGCAGGGCCCCGCTCCAGGCAGGGGCCTGCGACAGGATGGGCATCAGCGGTCACGGGCAGACCGCCTGGGGTGTAAGTGACTGAGCGAGCCAAGGAGAGCTGGTTCCCACCGGGGGGGCGGGGCAGCAGCCAGAGGACAGCGAATCGCTCGCTTGCAGTGACCCATCATGTCACACCCCACTCAGGGCAGGAAGATCAGAAAAACAGCCTGAACTGGCGGTTCCTCAGAGTTGAACACAGAATGACCACGTGACCCGGCAACCCCGCTGCCGGTCCCCAACTTACCATGATTTCATTTAAAATTTTCCAACTTCGCAATGGTGTGAAAGCAATCCAAATTCGGTAGAACCCACACCTCAGATTTTTAATTCGGATCTTTTCGCGGGCTAGTACAATACCCTCCACTGACTCTGGGCGGCGGCAGCGAGACGGCCTGGCCCGGGTGGAGGCTACTACTGTGAGCGTCCAGAGCCCTTTACGGCCGGACCGTCTGTGACGCACTGTGGCTTAGGCGCACCAAGTGCATTTTCCACGTTCGATGGACTGAGATGTGACCCATCGTAAATCACAGAGCGTCTGCATACGCCCCAGAGGACTGCCAGCAGGGGCTGGGAGAGATGCTCGCACACTCGCGCTCACAGCAGCACGACTCAACAGCCACGAGGTGGAACAACCCAACTGTCCACCAACGGGCGACGGGTACACGGAACGTGGTCCGTCCAGACAATGGAATGTCACTCAGCCTTAAAGAGGGCTTTGACACCTGCCACAACATAAATGAACCGGGAGGACGTTACGCTCAGTGAAATAAGCCAGACACAGAAGGACAAATGCTATGTGATTGATTCCACCCATGACGTCCGCAGAGGACTCAGATCCATAGAGACAGGAAGTGGGTGGTGGAGCCAGGGGCTGGGGGAGGGGAGGGGAGTGAGTGTTCAAAGGGGACAGAGTGTCAGTTTGGGACGATGAGAAAGTTCTGGAGATGGACGGTGGGGACGGCTGAAAAACAATGTGAAGTCACTTAATGCCGCTGAACTGACACTTTAAAATG